CAGGCCCTGGCATCTTTGCCTGTAAAATGGTGAGTTACACCACCTGCTGCAGAGGGGTTTTGTGAGGCAGAATTAATTGAAGTTTAAGTCCCATAGAATGGCGCTATAAAAGCGCAAAGCATATTATCTATTTCTGTCGTTCCATGTGGTGAGACTAATCAGTCCCAGGTCTTGTGGCAGGGTTTTAAAAAAACATTAATGGATTTTTTTTTAAAAAAAACCTACACCTTCTGTTGCATGTGGGACTGCTCTTTAGGGCTTCTGTCTAGTCCTGTTGAAGTCACAAGAAAGATTTTTTTTTTTTTTTTTGACTCCAACAGGATTTGATTAAGGTCCTTCTCAATCATCCGAGATGGAAGATAAACATTCTCAAACGTGTGGAACATGCTTTCTAGTTCTAGCCACGTTTTTAAGTTGCCTCAGGTAGGTACAGACCCTAATAATATAGGCATACATAGACAAGGTGGGAGCATGGATCAACAGTTGCTTTGGAAAGAGCTTGAGAGATGCAAGACCTTACCTACTTTGCCCTTACACTTTCTCCCTGTCCGTTGACAGCCCTCTGCAGGGGAATTTGTCCTGCCGCCTCTCAACTGCATTATGGATTGTATGAGTGCTCCCGGTCTGCTTTCCCACAAAGTCGGATAGGACTGCTCATAGTATTGCTGAAAAATAGTTGAGATAACACAGCTGTCTTTGTACTGAAGTGAAAAAGGGGCCCTTAAATGATTCATCAACCTAACTCCTCAGCATGATGGTAACTCCCAGTAGGAGGAGCAGTAACTTTCAAAATAGCTCCCTCTAAATCCTAAAAGAGGGAGTTATATTTAAGGTGGCATTTTGGAGACCTCTGCAAGTGTATCAGTCTGTAGATAGAAAGCTTGACTATATGAGAGAGACAATAGGAAAAAAAGGATAAGTCTATAGTTAGATCTTAATTAATTTTATGTCTCTGCATTGTTAGTCAGGTTTTTTATAGCAATGCCAGAATTTTTAGTGGTAGTCACTCAAAAGTATTTAGGTTTTCCCCCAGCGCCCTTAGATGTTGATCTATGAGATGACTGGGCTATGCTCTCTCTGCTTGGCTGGAATCAGAGTTATCTGCTAAACTCATAGCTAATGCCATCCTTAGGAAGGAACAAAGGCCAGCTAAGAAACATGAAAATGAGCTAATTTTTTTAAATTCTGTTTTTTTATTTTTTGACGTATGGATAGGTTAAGGCCAAAAACTGGCTAAAGGTTCTCATTTAAAAAAATTAATAAAGCCTTTCTGCAATTCTCCTGTTACCCCTAAATCAGCTTCATTTAGTGCTAAACCTTCCCTCCTCTTTGCTCCCCCCGAGTCATTTTTATTCTAATGCTGCAATAAATATTAATGCCTTTCCCAGATGCAACCACTTAAAATATATATGTATATATAACAACCTACCAAATACTTCATGCAGATGCCCGGTTGCAGCTAAAATTTGACTGGAGAAACTCTGAAAGGAGAAAAAGAGAGACGTGGTTCAACTAGAGGAAAGATAAAAAATTCTTGTGTGTGCATCTAAATAAAACTGAATATAAATTTGGGCTGATGGGAGGGGACAGTGTCTTAATGCAGCATATCCAGTGAGCTCCAAAGAAACTACAAACGTCTTAGCACAGGCAATATAGACGAATAATGCCACAATGCTTAAGTACTAAAACCCAAAGCCAGCACTTTCACTACTTAAAGGTGCACAATTTTCAGCAGCTCTGGTGCTCAGCAATTCCAGAAAGTCAGGTATCTTTAAGTTGTCTCAAGTGGACTCCCAAAATTGCTGTTGGTTAAATATCCTGGCTAAATATCCTAAAGCTCAGTGCGTTTGCATGCTGAGTACTGTTTATTGCAAAGCAGTTGGTAAGGGATGAGAATGCTCTGCATCTTGTAGGAGGCGGACGGCTCGGAGAGAAAGGAGAGTTTTGTTTTCTGTGTATTTTTAATGGACAATACATCTTGGTATGACTTGGCACAGATCTAATTGAAATCCAAGTTAATTTTCACATACGCTGCTGATTTATGTTTGCTGGGGATCTGAACCCCAATTTTCTGGACACGTTTAGCAGAAAATATAAATTTAGTTCATTGCCATGCAATGTTGCAGGGTTCAGTCACGGATACTGTCAAACATACATTTAGAATTTTTACCTTTTAGCATCTGCCTTTTAGGGATTTGTGTAACATACAGTACCGCAGTATCTTATCTCTTCCCAAAGTCAGACCAGCTGACACAGCGAGTTCTCTTACAGACACCTTTCTTTGCTCTGATTTTCTTCGTTCTTTAGTTCGTGTTGAGCCTTTTTCTCATCTAGATGAATAGGGATGCAAGCATTTAAAAAATTTATAAAGGAAACTGGACATTTTCCTGATAAATTTGATCTTTTATTTTTCCTTGAAACTAACAACTTCTTGTGGATTTTTGTTTGCAGTTATCCTCCAAAACAATCAGTTAGCCACCGGCTCATTGATTTTCATGTAAAAGTTACTTGCCTTGCTTTCATTATATAGTTTGGTTACGTTCTGCAGTTTTTCCTTCCATAGATAGGTCTCAGTAACATAAGCAGTTTATGTATCTGCAAATATTTTTTTCTATCTGTAAGAAGAGGGCAGGATAAAAAAGAGTGTTTGTGAGTAACATTTCTGGCTCAAATTCTCCTGTGAATCTTTGAGTGTGCCGGCATGCATAGCATTTTTCCTTCTGAAAACATTCTTAGAGATGAAATCTTGCTTACCGAATCATTCAAATAAAAGAGGTCACAGGTTTTAGCATGAGGAGTCAATAAGACTTATTTGATAGCATATATTCACTCAGTGCTGCTCCTGAGGTGTGAAGTTCTGTAGGATTTTTAGTTCCGAATACAAGGAGGTGACCAGGGCTCTGTACACAGAAGTTGCCCTCTGGCAGCCGAGCACCGACCGATCACTCCCGCTGAACCTGAATGCCAATGTGAAGAGAGACTGCAGCAGGACGCTGTACTTTTACCCTAATCTGTGCCACAGGAAGAACCAGTGAGCTCTTTAAGTCGTAAATGAGAAGGAACGATGGAGATAAAAATAACAGTCTGCAAAATGCACACACAGAGAAAATAAGTACTTTAGATATTTTTTAAATGTTTCTGAGAGATTTAAGGAAAAAGGAACATTTTAATTTAAAAAGCTCACTGGAAGGATGTATTTTGTGACAGTAATTTTATATGATGTTATCTGGGTCTTTTTTGTGGGTTCAATTGTCATGAGGTTTTCGAAGGGTTTTGTTTGTTCAAGCAACATATAAATGGATCAGATCCTTCGATATTTCTTTGTATGTTTGGGGCAGATGGAAGAGAAATACCGCAATGTAAGTGGTGCAAAGAAAGTAGCAATAACAAGGGAGAGTGGATTTCTGCTTTATTGTCTTGTGTTAGGACTATTTTGGTTGTTGTTGTTGGTAAACCCTAGGAAATATACATCTTTCTCCTTTAAAGTTCTAATTCAAGGCATGAATGTGTGAGTTCTGAAGGGACTTAGGGACTGCGGTAAAAAATCGTTGTCATAGTAACAGAAAGGGAAATAGGCCTGGCTCACCTGGGACTTTAACTTACTGCAAAAGCGGATTTTTTTTTTTAAGGAAAGCACTCAGCAAGAGAAATAAATAAATAAATTGTTCTTTGTATTCTAAATCAATTCTTCAACTATTTATTTTTTCTTATATCCAAGTCTTTTTCCTTCTAAATCTATCTTAAAGTCTCTGATTTTTTTATTTTATTTTAATTGTTGCAGTTAAACCTGTTTTGTCTGACAAATGGAAATTAAAAGAATCACAGAAAATATTTTCACTTGCGATAGGGAATGCCAAAAAAATTTCTTGCCTATTATGTCTGAATTTTAAATACATGCTTGTTTTGTTTTTAATCCAACAGCTATGATTTTTCAAATAATATCTTTACCTCTGAAATTAACAAATTTAAACAGATGAATCGGATAACAAAGGGATGAATCCTCTCCTCCCTGGATTTGACAGAAAATTTTGTGGAAAAGCTTATAGAAAAACACCTGCCTAGTATTTCTAAACTGTAAAATCTATATGCTGTAGTGCATAGTGTTGGGTAAGCCAATCAAGCATGCTGAAGATTCAACTTGTACATGACAAGCTAAACTCTACAGAATAATAACATATAAAGACAGGCATATGTGACAGGGCAAAAATAATTGGCACGAGAACTTTGTACAATGTTAATAGGTTTATCTGCTTGGACAGCGTGAGCTGTCATGTATTACTTCAGGTTGTGTTTTTGTTATCCTCTCTCAAAATCTATGTAAGATTATAATCTGGACTCTTGGCAGTTCTGCTTCTCTGCTTTAGTTACTGAAATCTTAATAACCAAAAACATCATCATGATGAAATCTCATCAGCTTCTTCTGGGACCTGTATTTGTTTCTATGTTTTTTAATACATTCTAAGTAGTTTCAAGGCTTATCTGCCTCAGAGTTGCCCTGTTGGTTTTTGTAGTTTTTACAATAACATTATCCTTCTATATTGTTTCACGGAAAATCCCTTCAGACAGCAAAATAAAGACCTTGTATCCAAGGGAGAGATAAAAAAAGAGACTAAAATCGTGTGGTCAAACATGCAGTGAGGAAACTGGCATAAATCAGAGTAGATATGTTGACTTATACCAGCTAGCAGCCCAGCTCCAAGCGGATTACAGTCACATTGGTTGTAGTTTACCTGATATATATATA